CTTTTTCTTCAATATTGCTTTCGCAAGTCTGGGTCTTTTGTGATTCCATGTAAATTTTAGGATTATTTTTCTAGTTCTCTGAAAAATGTCATGAGTAATTTGATAGGGATCATATTAAATCTGTAGATTGCCTTGGGCAGAATGGCCATTTTAACAATTTTGATTCTTCTAATCCAAGAGCATAAAATATCTTTCCATTTCCTTAAGTCATCTTTAATTTCCTTAATCAATATTTTGTAGTTCTCCACGTATAAATCTTTCACCTCCTTGGTCAGATTTATTCCTAAGTATTTTATTGTTTTGGATGCAATTTTAAAAGGGTTTGTATCTTTACTTTTTCTTGCTGTTTCATTGTTAGTATAAAGAAATGCAACTGATTTCTGTATGTTTGCATCTATGTTCATCAATGATATTGGCTTGTAATTTCTTTTTTGGCAGTGTCTTTGGTTTTGGTTATCAGGATGATGGTGGCTTCACAGAGTGAGTTTGGGAGCATTCCCTCCTTTTCAATCTTTTGGAAGAGTCTGAGAAGGATCAGTATGCGTTCTTCTTTGTATATTTGGTAGAATTCCACAGTGAAGCCATCCTCAGCGCCGTGTCTGCTAAGGTATGCAGGTCTACTGAAAATTCTGCACCTGCACTCGCCCCCACTGTGTGCCAGAACTCCACTGCTCCTTGCTTGACTGTCTTAGAGGTGCAGGCCCACAAAGGCACCTGCAGAGCAAATCGGTCCCCTCTGTCTGGGGATGTAAACCAATCTCAGCCCCACCTATGAAGTTGCGGAGCCCCTGGGTAAGGATTCAGGTTTCAACCCTACCTCCGCTTGGAGCCATGCACCAGGGGATATGGTGGCTATGGCTGAGCCCCACCTCTCTTCTTGTGAGAACATTCCAGCAATGGTGTCACAGGCCAGTGGAGACAGTGGCTATGGCCCATCTGTGTTGTGCCCCTCCCCTCAACGTGCACCAGTAGTGTTGCTTCTTCTTTTATGGGGGACCCAGGCTGTTCTGTTCTGTATACAGTCCCAGCCACAGCCCACAACACACTCCAGCCCCCTAAGGCTGCCTCTACACAGGCGGCCACAGCCCTCTGTTCGCTCAGGCAGCCTGGCCCGGCCCACCCCTCTGGTTCACGTCTGGGGCTGGGGGTCGCAGGGACCCTTTGTGCTGGTTTCTCAGTTCTGATGGTCAAGCAGCTGCTGTGAAGTCCTCTAAGCCTCGGAGGTTCCCCTCTGACTGTTGCAGAGGGGCCGTCCTAGGGGAGTGCTGTTCCTCCTTTGCCTCTCCCTCCCTCCCAGACAGGTCCTGCATTAATTTCCTTTTTCTTCTTTTCTTATCTCTCCTGATAGATTTTGTGAGGAATTTTGTCTTTTGAAGTAGGGGATGTTCTATCAAAGTTCAGCAGGTGTTCTGAGAGAATGGGTGGGTCTGTGGCGGTCTCTCTTGGTGTATTCATGGGAGAGGGTGAGCTAAGAGCATCCTTCCACTCCACCATCTTGGCTCCCTCCTACTTTCTCTTATTACCCACAATTGCACAGTGATCTGGATGCACACCTAACTCCCACCTGAATGTGGTGAGTACTTCTCCAACCACCCACGCACTAGCTTAATGTGTTTAGTTTGCTGTCATTGTTTTTTATTATTTGTGAGAGAGTGGAAAGAACTCTGGACTTGGCTCTGTTGCTGTACACAATTTTTAGTCCTTTGACAAATCACTTCACTTTCTGGATCTCAATTTCTGAATCAGAAAATGCAAACACTATGTCTGCCTTGGCAAACTGAAAAGGAAATTGTAAAGACAAATATAACCATACATGGGAAAAGACTTAAAAACTGTCTAGATTTACATCCATGTTGTCTAATCCCACATGATAGGGTCTATCAGCACACAGAAATAGGGAACTTTATAAATGCTTTTCAGTGCGTAGCAGAAAGAAAAAACCAACTGGTTTTCTTTCTGTTGGTAATCAAAAGGTAAATATAACATAAAGAAAAATTAATAGAAAAACAGTAGGGGAATTTATATCATAAACTTTCTAGTTGCACATTAAAACTTTAATAAACAATTTTTAGAGTTAGTCACGGTATCTAAACACTTACCAATTTTCTCTTCTCTGATGAAGTGGATCTTACAGTGCAAGCTGAACTAGCAGAACTTGCTGAGATTTCTTCCTCCTTCTTATCCTAAGAATGGCATTTGGAAAAAAGGAAAGAAAAGCACAAAATGAAGCACAGTATAAGACAACATTGTTATTATAAATCCACATTCCTTCTACATTAATAATCAACTTCCAAGGTTCAAATGTTCAAAGGCACACAAACTTTGGGAAGAGGAAGAGAAACTCAACTAGAAGGGAAAGTCAACTAGAAATCAGAGATCTGAGTACTCCTGAATTAGAGATGAGATGGGCATAGGTGCTCTAGCAGAAGGCCGCTGACAGCTCAGCTAAGGAGAGTGGGAGGTGGCGCTGCCATGGTAGTATTCAGTCTTCTACAAAATAAAGCCATATATCCAGTTATTTTTCACTGGATCTTGAGTTTAAGAGCCCCAGGTCAAGTACATTTTGAGTATCATCTATCATGTCAACAGAGGGGTCAGATGAACGAAAAAACAATAAAAGTCCCTGCCCTCATGAAAGTTAGAATCTAGTGCAGGAATTTACAAATAAGCAACTAATACATTTAGAGTGTCAGATAATGCTGTGGGAAAAAATAAAGCAGAGAAAAGGTCAGGAAGAGCTGGGAGGCAGGGGTGAGGCAGTTATAATTTAAAACAGAGTAGTGAGAAAAGGCCCCTCTGGTGAGCTGACATTTGAATGAAGACCTAAAGAAACGAAGGAACAAACCAAGTGAGTATCTAGGGAAAGAGTTTTCAATTCAAAGGGACAAAGCCTCTGAGGCAGGAATGTGCTTGGCTAGTTGGCACAACAGGAAGCTTTCTCTACGCCTTATGTGTGTGTGTGTATATACATATATACACGTGTATACATACACACAAGTAGAACTGAATCTCTTTGCTGTACGTGTGAAACTAACACAACACTGAAAATCAGCTATACTTCAATATATATATTTTTTTTTAAAGTGGGGGGAAAAAAAGATGAGGAGGAACCAGCAAAGGACACTGCCAAGTCTCTGTTTCCTCATTTGTGTAACTGGGATAATGACAGTACCTACCTCAAAGAGTTGTGAGGAATAAATAAAACAATGCAAGTAAAAAATGAGAAAAACAAATTATTTCTTTTGGGTCAGAAAAGAAGAAAATATTTACATATCTCATTTTAAAACAGAGGTATATTTTTTATTACACAAAAATAAACTATAAAAATGGGTGTCTTTAAGTCAAAATTCTTACTTTATCAACATTAGGCGATGAGGTGGTGTCTTTTCTCCAAGACTTCTCCTTTTTTCCACAAGAGTCTTTGTTAGACATTTTGAAAAGCTAATACAAACATTAAAAATAAATTATGTGGGTTTTTTTTTTATTTTTACCACCGCAACAAAACATTAGATACTATTCTTTCTTCATTTACACCAAGACTGGAGTTTTATAAAATGACTTCCATTTTCTATTCATTCTCAAAGTGACAGGCTTTTCTCACTGTTCCACTTTATTTCACTTATATTCTCCCACATGATGAACTGTTCCTCTCCTCCAGCTTCACCTATCACCTTCTTAGAAAGGACTCTCAAAACCATGCCTTTAGCCCTGACTTCTCTAAGCATCAGCTCATCATTTTCAACAGCCTGCAGGACGACTGTATTTTGCCCCACCTACACCTCAAAACCAATTAGTCATAGATCTTCATTTTCCTAACACATTCTCTGTCCCTCACGGAGTGAGACTTCTGGCAAATCACATACATTTTTTTTTGAGCTTTACTTTCATTATATGTAAAATAGAGATAACCCATCCCAGAGAATTTTTAAAGAACTCTAGACAATGGATGTAAAAATACCTTGCACAGGGTGATACACAGTAGAAACTAAATAAATACTGACTTATGAGGTGGTCTTTTTACTAGACCCTGAGCTTCTTGAAGAGTATGCTGTACTAAAAACTTAGGAGGTGTTCATAAATGCCTGCTGAGTGAATGAATGAATTTTTCTTCCCCAGAATATACACTGTTCATTCCAAGCCACTTTCAGCTCTTACTCACTGCAGTCCCTCCGTCTACTTCCCACCCCAGTCTCATTCTTCCAGTCTTGCTCTGGATCGAGTCTACTCTGTTAGCTGCTGACCCAATAACTAACCAAATAAATAAGACAGACACAGTCATTCCCTATGGTCATAAACACTCTGAAGATAGTGCTGGAATGTAGAGGCCAGACACTGGGAACATCAGTAGGTCCTGGGGGCAGAAAGATATAAAAGGGGTCCAGAGGCAAAGCCCAAAGGAGAGTTTATTGCTGGTAGGACACTTATTGAGACTCCGGCCATAAAAAAGGCTAGAAACCAAGCAACTGCAATTACTCCTGATGAATCATGACAGTAAAGTGAAATTGTATACGAGAATGATCAATTATACTAGATAAAACTTTCAGAATGTTCTGATGAATATAGGAGAAAGAAGAAACATTCTGAAACTAACGGAGAATCTAATAATAAAAATTAATAAAAGAACAGATTCTAAATTACCCAGAAACTTTGCTTTTTAAAATAATTTATGGCAATAATTGAATTCAGTGGAGCTTCCAGAGTAGAGCAATAATCTTCATTTCCCTTTCCTGTTTCAGGGATTCCACTTCATGGGGGGAAAAGGTACAAGAGAAAACAACAACCTCCATGAAATGAATTGTTTAGAGCCAACAAACTGGTTATGTTACAATTTAAACCCATTCATGTTAGTATGATGTTACTTTGAACATAAAGAACACTAATTTAAATCTGCTGCCCATGAAACAACCTGAAAAAAAATCTGCAGATAGTGGACTGTAAGGAAAAACACCTCTATGTTTCCTATGACATAATGTTTTATATTTATATTGGTGTGAAATTCATACTAATATATGGAAATGAAAATATAAACTAAATGAAGGGAGACTGCCCGTATTGGCTAGCCTACAAAATGACTCCTGGCTCCTGATAATCCCTGTTGCCCGGTAATTACAGCTTATGTAGTCCCCTCTCATGATAAAGCTGACCTGGGTAACCAATAGGATATTACTATATGATGGTATGTGGCTAGGTCAACAAGACATTGTGGCTTCTGCCTTTCTCTGTCTGGAATTATTCACTCTAAGAAAAACCAGACACCATGTCATGAAGACATACAAGTAACCCAAGGAGAAGCCCACCAAGGAAGGACTGAGACCTCTTGCCAAAAAAGAATCAACTTCCAAGCATGTGTGAGCCACCTTTGAAGCTGATCCTGCAGCCCTAATCAAGCCTTCACGTGCAGCAAGTGGCAGGCATTTTCGCTGCAACCTCCTGAGACCTAGAGCCAAGTACCCCCAGAAAGCTATTTCTGAATTCCTGACCCATAGAAACTGTGAGGTGATGTTTTTTGTCTTAAGCCAGTAAGTTTTGAGATAACTTAGGCAGCAACAGATGAGTAATACATGCACTTAAAATAATTCCTCAAACTTCTTTGAAGACCCCCCTCTTTAAGATATCTCAAGAGCAGGGACCATGCTTAGAAGTTCTTATTAAAATTCCAACAGAACGCCCAGGCTAAAATCTAACACTTTTCTCTGGTTTCCAGGTGGTATTAATAAGACTGACATACAGAACAAAGCTTTCAATTAACCATCTAGTCTTTCAGAAAAAAGAATCAGTGATTTTTGGCTGATGCACAAATATAGTTAGCCACATGTCTCATTTACAGACTCATGTCTGTAAATTATACTGTGTTATAATTCCATTTTTAATTAACTGTTAAGAGCAGTGAGGCAGTATACATCCAAGAATACTAGTTAAAAGTTGGAGATGGGGTCACTACAAAGGCTTGAAAACTTTAATTCACGAAAGCTTCCAGGGGATAAACTGTGTTTCCATTAAACTGGGGAGAAGGGGGATAAATCCTCCAAACATACTTTCTAACTACTGGGGAGGGGGCTGGGGAGCGCTGGAGGGAGGACCAAATTCCTGTTAGAGTTTCAAACTGCTAAATAATTACACGTGCTCTCCCCTGCGTACAAGAGGAAACAGACCAATGAGTTAGGTATTAAGTGTCAGCTTTATTAACTAGGAAACCCAAGTGAAGTGTGAGTCTCGTACCTGAGACTAAAAGGAGCTTCCCTCTCCTCCATGCCGCCTGTAATATTCAGAAAGTCCCAAGCAGAGCAGCCAGAAAACTCAAGTCTTCCCCTTGTCTACCCCAGTGGGCTGGAAAGAGTGAGGCTTAAGCAAGTTTAAACAGGCTTAGAGAGCAAAGGGAAGAGAGGTACGGGACCAGGGGGACTCACCGGCATATGCCCTGAGGGATGTGAATTGCATCAGTCGAGTGCCCCGAAGCTCAACACACACAAGAGTTCTGGGTATTAAAAGCCTAAATACAAGCGTAGGGCACCCTCCCCCCTGTAAAAAAATCCGTAACCACAGAACTCTTACTACTACAGCGTAGCGCTGCTACTGGGAATATGTAGGTCAGAGCAAAAATAAAAACAAAAGGAAGAGAGTGTTCCGGTCACGGTGTGGGTGAAGGTGGGAGATGAAGAGCAGATCCCAACTCCAAGTCCACCTGACTGCCTGGCGAGCACGTCCGCGGCTCGCAAAACGCCGCGGCCCACTGGCGGGGCAGGTACACACAAGACCCTACCCCGGGAGCGGGGCTGCCCCAGACGCAGGGCCAGGCCAGAACCACACCCTTCCCGAGCAGGGTCAACCCTAGGTCCGCCCACAGAGTCGCCCCGCCCAGGCTCGAGGGGCCCCGGAATCCTTCGTCCGTCACGCCTCCTGCCTGCTAGGCCACCGAAGTGAGGCGGGGAGGCTGCCCAGCAAAACGCCAATAAGCCCCCCAGCCCCCCACTTACTTACCAGCGCGGGCGGCGGTGGCGACTTGGGACGCCCAGGCCAAGGAAAAGAGACCCCGAACCCGATGCCCGCTGGGAAATGTAGTTCTGCGCTCGGACGCAGGCTACCCCTCGAACGCTAAGGAGCGTTTGTTTAGCTTTGCATTCACTTCCTCGAGGGACTTGGAACCGGGGCTCCGCCCAGGCGGCGCGGTGCACCCTGGGTATTGTAGTCTTGGTTGGGTTCGGGGACGGACCGCTGGAACGGAGATGCACCGCGGAAACAGAACTCTCTGACCTCATTGGACGCCGTCCCCAGCACGCTCCTGCGCAGTCTGTGCTGGCGTCGTAACGCCTCGGGGGAAAGGAAGCGGATGAGACCGGGAGTCGCCGCCTCTGGGTTTTTATTTTTGTGCTGACAGGATTTGGTCACTGGTTCTTCGTCTTTTGTTTGTTGCACGCATCCCGTTCTCCCCATTTGCCTCCCCAGTCCTCGGATCCAGCCCTCTGGGCATTCACGCCAGTTCTCTCACCCCGCTGTGAGCCCCTCCTAGTCCCGGGGCGGGCCTGGCACGGAGGCGGTAACTATGGAGAATATGGCGGAGGAGGAGCTGCTGCCCCAGGAGAAGGAGGAGGAGGAGGTGGCCCAGGTCCAGGTCCCGACCCCGGCCCCGGACTCGGCTCCGGTCCCAGCTCCGGCCCCGGATTCGGCTCCTGCCTCCGCCCCGACCCCGGCCCCGGACTCGGCTCCAGCCCCAGCCCCTGCCCTGGCCCAGGCTTCGGCCCTATCCCCGTCCCTAGCCTCTGCCCCTGACGAGGCTGAAAGCAGTAAGTGCAGGAGGCCCAGATCTTTCTGCCGCAGGAGAAGCGAGAAAGTGCGCCTTCCTGGGGAGTAGGGGAGGCCCTTCTTCACTGGGATGGTTCTTACGGGGAAAGGCAGGTTTAGGGAAATGGGGGGAGGCAGGAGGGACCCGTACAGCGGGTAAAAGGGTACAGGATGGGGAAGGGAACTTCACAAACCTCGGGGACCTCATGGTGAAGGATATGTGGAGGCCGGGGGGTGGGGGTGCAGATGGAAATAATGAGGTTGAGGGCTTCTTGGTTAAAGGGGGTCTTTTTCTGGTACAAAAATAAGAAGTTAATTTGGTAGTTTCCCTCCCAGCCCCATCTGCCATGGTTCTGTGAGTCCTTAAAAATAGGATATAGTTACTGAGCAACCTGTTCACTGTAGGAGATTCTAACTGCCAAGATTTAGAAACCGTTGCTGTCAATTAGCTTTTATGACTCGACATACACAAGCGATGGGTTTTCCTCGTTATTTCATTTTCTTTAGCAGCTTGCTTCCGGAAAGAATTTGAGGCTAATGAGTAGTTTAAGAAAGAGTCGACTAAATTACAGATGTCTTCCCTTAGACATAAATACCAGTTGAGTTTTGTCTGTTTTTCCATCAGAAGTCGACTGTTGAAAATTAATAGCCCATATTATTGTGCTTCTGAGACTGCTGGCATGTTTTGTAAGTGGTGATTTACGGGACCATAAAGGAATTTAAAATATTGATGAATAACACTTTCTTAATCTTTTGAACACCTTTACATAGAAGGTCTAAGAGAGTCTTCTTTTTAAAATTTGTTCAAAAATGGACCCTTATGCTCTTTCTGAATTATAACAAAATATCTTAATTCATTGTTTTTTCTGCTTCTAGGCCAGTTGTGAGGTTGATGTTATAAAATATTTGAGTAGTAATAGTGTAGTAGAACTATTTTGCAATCTTAAAACAACATATAAATTGTTATAGCAGATTTAAGAGTAGGACTGATAACAGAAAAAACAAAGTTAGCGTTCCTCAAGTTGGCCTCTCCTCGTCACATAAGATCAGTGCTAGCAGGTGCAAAGTAAGACCAGTTGTTTCTTCATCCATAACTACCATGTGGGGAAAGGAGGTACTCTGTCCTGAGTAAGGTAGCCTCCCTAACTCATGTCTAGATTGGATCTTTTTATATCAACCAGAAATGATTCAGAAGCTTTAGGGATTGCGTGCTTTCTCCAGCTCCCCACCATCAAGAATACGTTAAACATACTTTGGGAAAATTTACTGATACATTCCAAAATTTACAAGTTTGTAATTTGAAGAATGTGTAATGTTTGGGAAACTTGAAAATGCATCATTGGGACAAATATGTAGTGATTGAGAAATCTGAAATGCGTTAAGAACATACATTGATCACATTTTAAAAATTACTTTTAGATAGTCTAGTCAGTCCTTTGAAATTAGTCTTAACTAGGCAAGATGAAGATAGCATATCTGAAATAGAATTGAAAATTGAGGAAAAAGGTTTAAAAGAATCTCCTAGCATCTTCTTGAACTCATCTGTTTTAAAAAGAGGTTTGCCTATTGACTTCTGGATTATTAGTGTGTTATAAAAAAGGTTTGAGTAGTTTAAGTACAAATTGTCTGATATTTACTCTCTTGAACCAGAAAGTGATTTCAGAGATGCAAATGGGCATATCATAAATCTTGAGGCATGTCATGAATGTGAGAGTTTTCTTCAGTAGTGGATCACGGGATTTTCAGTCTTCTCATCTGACTTACCAGGCCCCTTTCTCTAATTTTGTATTACTTGGTAGTTAGAATGATTTCAATAAGCACATTGTTATCTTGTTTCACACACAGATCTTTGAATTATGGAAGCCAAAAGCTTTTATGATTTCAAATTAAATAGGTTGGTTTGTACACATGGATTCATTGCCTAATTCTTACTGTCTGACCTAGCAATTAAAAGTTTTTGGTCAAATGGGAAAAAAAATTTTACCTGTTTACAGAAATTATGTCTCATTATAAGTCGTTTGAACAGAGCCTGGTATAAGAAGTTAACCAGTAGCATTTGTTGCTCTTTGTTTTTCTCATTTTAAAAAAGATAAAAATGAGTCTTTTGGTAAGTTTTTGCAGAAAGATCTGATAGTGCTGAATTGAACTCCGAAATTATTGGCTCAGTGTGATACTGCATCCAAAAAGACTAATGATTTTTAAAAGTTACTTAAAAACCTTAGTGCCTGCTATGTACAAGTTACTACACTAGGTACTTAACCAATACAAGGATGAATAAGGCCCTTGCCTTCTTACTGCTTATTTGTGGGGGAGACAAACAAGGATAAAAACTATGCAGAAGAGTAAATGAAGCAGGTGGGAGTGAAGTCTGAAGGGGAATAGGCAGGAAGATGGCAGTGTCAAGAACAGAATTTAAAAGCCTTAAGTTTCTAAACCGTATAATATAATTATACTGTGAATATTAGAGAACCCTGTGGTCTATCCCACTTTCTCCTATCTCATTGTGTATCTTTTCCTATTAGTATTATCTCCTAGTCTTATATGTTCAAGACTCCACTTTGTAAATGTTCCTTTCCTTTGGGCCACATGTATTCAGGTCTCTCTGTCCTTAAAAAGAAAGAAAAAGCAAGTTACAGTCCCATCCACCTCCTTTTTTATACCTCCAAGCTTGGGGAAAAAAAAATCGACACTGATTTTCTGTACTCTGTTTCTCCTTCCAATCCCATTTATACTCTCAAACACCTCACTGAACTTTCTTTCTTAAAGGTCACTAGAGACCTGCTAAATACTAAATCCAGTTGTCTTTCCTTTTGAGTGTTGAGTCTTTCTCTTTTACAACTATTTTCTGACACCTGGTGTTGAGTCTTTCTCTTTTACAGTCTCTTCTCTCTTGGCTCCTGCACTATCTTGATTCTCCTTACTATCTTTTTAAATCTACCCTCCTGATTTTTATTCCTCAGAATCTCATAAATACCCACATCCCTCCATCCCTCACTTCCAAATTGTATCCATTTATATTAATCAGCTGTGGTTCAGCAGCGTTGGGGGATGTATCCCCCACAGCACTAATCAAGAATATATCTTGGAAAGATTAATTCATAAATTTCAAATTTTAGAAGTTTGAAGAATGTGTAATGGAGAAACCTGAAAATGTGACTGGGACTGGGTTTTGGCTTTTTTCTTCTACTTTTCACATTTTTCCCTTACGCTTTCTTGCTCATGCTCACAGTTCCACCTAATGTGTATTTTTGATTTATATCTATTCAGAATCCCTCCTGACCTCACAAAAAAATTCTGCTGCCTACTGGACTTGAGTATATGAATACGAGCACTAACTAAACACACTGTGTGAAAAACCAAATTCCCTTTTCTCTTTTGCTTCCTTTATTGGTTAATGTACCATTATTCTCAACCATATAAACTTGAAATCTTAGAGTCATTCTTTAATCTTCACCCTTACTTCTCACATCCCAAGTTCTTTGCTTCTTTTTTTACCTTTTGTTCTGTACCTTTTCATTACTAATTTCTCAGTTACTAATCCTTGGTACCACAACCAGGGATACCCTCCTGAAACACATTCAGTCACATTTCCTCAGAAACCTGAAAAGACTTCATATTGCATGAAGAATGAAGTCCAAACTAACGTGTATGGAATTTAAGCCTTCCATAATTTGTACCACATTTTCAGCTACATGTTTTTCTACCGACTTTATCCCCTAAACATACCACTTTCCAGCCAGATGTGGTACAGATGTGGGTGTATATTTTTACACCACATGACTTTGCTTATTAGGTTACTTCAGTCTATAAGGCCAGACACCAAATCTCTACTTAATGAAATTCTATTCATACCTTAAGTCTCAATCAGATGCCATGTCTTAGGTGAAGACCTCCTCAGAGGCACTTGCTGGAACTAATTACTCCTTCCTCTGTGTGCCTGCATCATGTTACCTTTACCTCTAGTATTCATTTCTTTCTGCCTTGTGTTATAGTTCGTAGTTAACTTGTTAATCTCTCTCACCTGAT